ATCACTATTAGGTTTGTTATTAAATGTGTTGTAAAGAAAACTGTTCACAATGAACCCACTACTGCGTGTGCAGAAGTTTTAAGGTATACCACATTTTGAAACGTCTCGGTGTAAAAACCACTAAATGTTTCTGTCATCTGTTTTCTTTATTAGTCTCATAAAACTCTGTCAGGGCTTGTGTACCAGAGGACCACTACCTATGGTCTTTATAATTTTCTATATTTCTGCATAAATACGGCCTAAAACATCATCAGATTTTCACACAAGTCCTAAAAGTAGATAAAGAGAACCCAGTTAAATAAATGAGACTAAGTATTTTACTTGATCATTTATTTATTGAGGGTGATGATCCATTATTACATATATGTGAGTGGTAAAAGTATGTGAACCTCTAGGATTAGCAGTTCATTTGAAGGTGAAATTACAGTCAGGTGTTTTCAATCAATGGGATGATGATCAGGTGTGAGCGGGCACCCTGTTTGATTTAAAGAACAGGATCAATCAAAGTCTGCTCTTCACAACATGTTTGTGGAAGTGGATCATGGCAGGAACAAAGGAGATTTCTGAGGAGCTCAGAAAAAGAGTTGTTGATGCTCATCAGGCTGGAAAATGTGACAAAACATCTGTAAAGAGTTTGGACTCCACCAGTCCACAGTCAGACAGATTGTGTACAAATGGAGGAAATTCAAAAGCATTGTTACCCTCCCCAGGAGTGGTGGACCAGCAAAGATCACTCCAAGAGCAAGTTGTGGAATAGTGGGTGAGGTCACAAAGGACCACACGGTAACTTCTAAGCAACTGAAAGTCTCTCTCACATTAATATTGATGTTCATGACTCCACCATCAGGAGAACACTGAACAACATTGGTGTGCATGGCAGGGTTGAAGGAGAAATACACTGCTCTCTCGTCTGTTTGCTAAAGATCATGTGGACATGCCAGAAGACTGTTGACAGAATGTTGTGTGGACAGATGAGAACAAAACAGAACTTTTTGGTTTAAATGAAAAGTGTTCTGTTTGGAGAAAGGAAAACGCTGCATTCCTGCATAAGAACCTTATCCCAACTGTGAAACATGGTGGTGGTAGTATCATGGTTTGGGCCTGTTTTGCTGCATGTGGAGCAGGACGGCTTGCCATCATTGATGGAACAATGAATTGTGAATTTTATCAGAGAATTCTGAAGTAGGGCTGGGCCATATCATATCATATCATTCATGATAAGCCCAGTTAAAAAAACTTACCTTGGAAAATAAATATGATGTGCTAATTTTATGGAGTAAATACGTCAGTGTTTCCCCTACCGTTATACAAGTGGGGCACCCTGCCCCATTAACAGAACTGAGCGCGTAGCCTACCAAACTGTGCACCCCCACCTGTCAGTACTGGCGTAAAGCTAAGCTAGCCACGCGCAATACTAGCTAGGTAAAAACCTAAAGGCATTGCTCACGCTGCCTCTTCCCTCATGCTGAACCCCCCCCCCCCCCCGCCCCTCCTACCGCGCTCGAAAACTGCTGGTACAAACAGCGTGCAGCTCAGCTGTGTCTCTTGACCCAGCACAATTCCAGTCAGTACATGGACCAAGAAAAGAGCCAGGTAATCAAAGACAGAGCAGTCAGTGAAATGGAGTCATTCCTGTGAGGAATAGAGGAAGGTGAAACACCAACACAAGCTTCAGGGTCAGCTGAAGACCCCCCCCCCCCAGGCCCAAGTGATGTAAAATTGCCAAAGAAGATACTTGGAAGCTTTTTTATGAGAGCTGCAGTAAGTGACAGACCAGGACCATCTCCAAGAGAGAGACTTCAGGCAGAGACTGTCCTCCAGCAGATAGTGAGAGTGATCCTCTTAACTGGTGGAAAGTGCACGAGGTTAACTTTCCTCAGGTTAGCTGTTTGGCAAAAAATGATCTATACATCCAAGCCACTAGTACAGCCTCTGAAATGTTGTTGAGAACAGGAGGGAACACGGTTACGTGTAACACGTCTGCACTGAAGCCTGCTTCAGTGAACAGGCTTGTGTTTTTGAAGAAGAACTGAAACTTGATCAATGATAACCAGCCAGATGGCTACGTTCTGATCAGCAATCCTTTCAGGCAGCATTTCATTTGTTTTCAGCCTTTGTCACAAGTTTCTGAAGTTATAGCTCATTTAAAGGCAACATGTTTTTTTCTTGTATGTTACATTTATGCTCAACAGATCTTAAACTTTCATTTTATTTAGTTTTGTTGGGAACTGCACCTGCACTTTAGTTTTTGTGGCAGATTTTGTTGTTCTATATTTTGTGCAAACTTTTTCAATCTAAATAACAGAAGGATCGTTTATATTTTTTATTGTTATAATTTTAGACTGAATACTTTACTAAATAAAGTTAATTGCAGTAAAATTAACCCTCATTTTTTAAAAATAAAATACTGCAAAGCAACATGTTAAGTTAATTTTGTCAAATGAATAACTATGATTTTTTTTTGTTAATTTCACAAAATGTATCGTCAGAATGCTCAGAAATATTACAATATTATGTTTGAGTCATATTGCTCACCCTTATTCTAAAGGAAAATGTCAGGATATCTGTTCATGAACTGAATCTAAGAGAAGGTGGGTCATGCAGCGAGACAATGACCCTTCACACAAGTGGTTCTACCAAAGAATGGTTCAAGAAGAATAAAGTTCATGTTTTGGAACGGTCAACTCAAAGTCCTGACCTTAATCCAGTCCAGATGTTGTGGAAGGACCTGAAGCAGCTGTTACTGTGAGGAAACCACCAACATCCAGAGTTGTTCTGTACGGAGGAATGGACTAAAATTCCACCAAGCCGGTGAGCAGGACTGATCAACAGTTACCAGAAATGTTTAGTTGCAGTTATTGCTGCACGGGGGGGTATCACAAAGCAAAGGTTCACATACTTTTATACTTTTACCATCACAAATATGTAATATTAGATCATTTTCCTCAATAAATAAATGACCAAGTATAATACTGTTGTCTCATTTGTTTAACTGGGTTCTCTTTATCTACTTTTAGGACTTGTGTGAAAATCTGATGATGTTTGAGGTCATATACAGAAATATAGAAAATTATAAAGAGTCCACAAACTTTCAAACAAACTGTATGCCAGAATCAGCTTTTCAGGTTCCTAATGTCCCTTTACAAAGAGCAGAACAACAAAAAACATTTGGTGATTTAAGTGCTTTTACTTTAGAACTTTACCTTAACTTTGCTATATTTATTATTTTTCTTAAAGTTCCTCCAGATTTATCTACATTTATTTAAACAATCCCAAATCTATTTTAGAACAGCATCGTGATCCTCTGGCCTTTAAGCAGACACCAATTGTAAACTAAATCTTAGCAAATAATTAAATGAAGGTTTGAACCTTGTTTCTAAAATGATCATTATTTAACATAATGTGAAAGTCAGTGTCATAAACAGATTAAATATAGGACACTGGTTTTAAACAGTGACTGTCAACACATTCACTTCTATTTTTTTTACTTCCTTCAAGTGTATTTATCAAAATAAAGTTTTAATTGATATTAAATCAATTTAAAACTTATCAAATACTATCACAGCTCTAACACAAATCATAGATTAATATATTATTTGAACAGCATTAGTAATCAGTGTTTCCCTACCATTGTATAAGCAGGGCGCCCTGCCCTGTCAACAGAACTGAACAACCTGCCTACCAAACTGCCCCCCCCCCCCCCCAAAAAAAAAAAACTTGATGTAGCGCGGTGCGCAATACAAACATGCTGGCAAAAAAGCTACTGACCTAGCTCCAATTTTCCTCCTTCCCCACCCTCCCGTTGACAAATACTGGCAGCAACTTAGCGCTAAGCTAGCGCTAAACACAAACGTGATTTGTCCCCTCCTCCACCCCCCACCCCATCTCCACAAAGAAAAAGCACCAGCACCCTGCCAAGGGAACTGATCTAGGGGAAAGACTAGTAATAATAGTAGTAGCTTTGTTCTATTTTTAAGAAAAAAGTAATTCAAATACACGGTTTTAATTTTTTGTAGAATATCTTTGTTTTATTACTGTAAACTTGTGTTGTGTTATTTTTCATTTATAAAATCTTATACTGGGCCCATGCCTAGCGTGATGTTATGTGCATTCACGTTATTTGCCCAGTGGTTGCGAGTCAGCTTCTCTTTACAATGACTAAAATCGCAAGTCAGCTGTGTTTGCTATATGTCAAATAAAAGCTCATTTTGTTGAGAGCATTGACCAACAGATAATCACATATGAGCTTAATAAATACTCATAAAAGAGACTGAATGTTTAAGTAACTAATCCCGGATTAACGCAGTATCATTCCAGCTACGTACTCTAAAACTGAAGCAGCTTTTTACTGAAAGAAATCTCTAAAACTATCTGAGCTTTTTAGTTTGTGAAACAGTCATGGTGTCATTCTAAAGCATCCAGACTGGTCTGAGATCAGGCTCTTACCTGTCAGAGATTATTATACATCTCGCCTAAAGGAGAGTTTGTCTCTCGATCTTCTGTGGAGCTTTAATGCTGAATGCGATGACATCATTAAAAAAGACCATAGATATACAGTACATTGGAAATGTGTACAGCACTTTGTTGCAGCTGTGGTTGTTTTAAAGGGCTTTATAAATAAATTATTATTATTATTGGAAATGTCTAAATATTGAACATGATTTCCAATAAGTAATAAAAAACAACATTGTTTCAGTTGCAGATTTTACTGCTTGATGTGAAGACTGGCACAGGATTTTAAAGAGCTTTGTCAGTGATTTCTCTGTAAGAGACGCTGAGAAACAACAGCTGGCAAAATATAAAACAAGTATTGGTCTTTGAAAAAGTATCTCTACAAGCACTTTACATTGTACTACACTGACCTGGTCTAAACAGAACATTTGGGTTGAACGTGTGGCACTTTAATAGTCGCTGGTGGTTTTGTAACTCAAGAAGTGAAATAATGTGAAAAACTAGTTTCAGAAAATTGAGATACAAAAAATAAAAAAAACACAACTTACCATCAGTTTGTGACTTGCTAAGAAATATGGTGCTGGCTCGAGGATGATCTGAAGGATTGTGCTCTATGGGCAAATCTGAGGATGTAGAAAGGAGAAAAAACAAGTTCATCAAACAGTGTTAATATTTGAAATTTGAAGGAATGAATGAATTTTATTTCAATTTAATTCAATTAAATTCAGCTTATTTATAAAGTGCCAAAGCCAAGTCCCATCAGAAGTCATCTCAGGGCACTGAACCGAAACATTCATATAAAAAAATAATTTAACACTATTTATCTAAGGAGCAGACTGCTTTGAATTTATCAGCAACTCCGTCACAGAACTCTCATCTTGAGCAAGCATGAAGGCGACAGTGGAAAGAAAAAACTCCCTCATGAGGAAGAAACCTCCAGCAGAACCAAAATGACAATTTGAAGTTATTTTGTAAAGGACTACATGTGCTATATACAGGTGCTGGTCAAAAAATTACAATATCATGAAAAAGTTTTTTTATTTCAGTAATTCCATTCAAAAAATGAAACTTGCATGTTATATTCATTCATTACATACAGACTGATATATTTCTTAGCTTCGGTACCAAGCCGTGATTTCCAGTAATACTCTTCTGAGCAAGAGAACCACATTTTCTTTGCAAATACAGCAAAATAAATAAAATATATACTTTTTTATATATATAAAGTTAGACCATTTGGCTAAAACCACGAACAGCCTGTGAGACTAAATCGTTGACGATGGAGTTAAGAGATTGTCTTAAGGGTTCCGTGCTTCATTTGCAACGAACTAAACTAAATGTTAATCTGTTAGCAGTCAGCATGCTGCACCAGCGCTGTGTAAACAGTGGTTTGTAAATCGATGAACTAAGCAAACACAGCACAACGTTATGGATCTGTATTAGATCATCCTCTGCAAATGGATACAACCTTTAACTGACCACAGAAGAGCTTTGAAAAAACCCAACCCTTATACTAATTAAATCATTTATAAACTTAAGTACATGTAATTTTGCTTTACGCTTCTCCTTTATATAAAAAAAAAATAATGTCACTACTTAGAAATACAAGTTACTATTTAATAAATAGGTGTCTAGTTTGGGCAGCACGGTGGCACAACTGGTAGAGCTGCTGCCTCTCAGCAAGCAGATCCTTGGTTCAAATCCCGGTCCAGGGGCCTTTCTGGGTGGAGTTTGCATGCTCTCTCCGTGCATGCGTGGGTTTTCTCCGGGTGCTCCGGTTTCCTCCCACAGACCAAAAACATGCATGTTAGGCTGATTGGTAACTCTAAATTGTTCCTAGGTGTGAGTGAGAGAGTGAATGGTTGTTTGTCTCGTTTGTCTCTATGTGGCCCTGTGATGGACTTGCGACCCGTCCAGGGTGTACCCTGCCCCTCGCACAGTGATTGCTGGACATGTGCACCAGCGACCCTCGTGACCCAAAAAATGGAAGAAGCGGGTAAAAGATGATGGATGGATGGATGGATGGATGGATGGTGTCTAGTTCTTTATTTCACTCACTGTAACATATAGACAGGGGACAGGGCATGTCTTCACATTTTGAATCAATCAGTTTTGATTGCTTCTCATATGGAGCACGCTTTAACCCTTCCACAACTATCTTAGTAAAAGAAAAGAAAAATAAATAAATAAATAAAAAACTACTGGACAGATGACTACATAGCCAAAACAGCTCAAATCAAATATGACTGTCAGAAGAAAAAAAAAAAAATCCTACCTAAGCTCCATCTGTTCAGAAGTGGTCAAATAAAAGTTTTCCCAATTATGATAAATTTCAGCAGGACTACAGGTCTTTTCTTTAAAGCATGATGCCTTACTTTGTTAGAAGAACATTAAAGTGTTGAGTTTATTTCATACCCTAAAAAACACAAAGATTTGTGTCCATCATTTGAAGAGAATTATTGTGTTTTAGTCCATAATTAATATAAACTGGAAATTATTCTATTTACTCTCGAGTCTTAAGAGGACATGGTATAAAACCATTAGTGTCAATTAAAAAACAGTTAATCTAGAAGGAAGCAAACAAGAACTCAAAGCAGCTTGGGTTGGTAAGTCTGTGGACGTCTGAGATGATGTCAGCGAAACAGGAAGGGTCAAACAAGGCCAACGCCTCGATACACAAACAAGAGAGTAACTGTAAGGAACACAAAGGACTGTAAATGAATTTACACTGGAGACAGAGGCACACAACCAGAGAGGCTCAGAAAGAACAGGGTAAAAGGGAAAGAAAGCAGAAGATGAAATAATGAAAGTGGTATATGTGAGGTGTGATTGACAGAAGACAGGACTATAACATTTTATGAAAGAGGAAACAAAAAGAAGTGGGAGAGGATGTGAAAAATGAACAAATGTGACATGGGAGCAGAGGTGAGGCATGTGGACCGGATGAAAGAAACAAGATAAAAAAGAAGAGATATCAGCTTCATTTGACCTCTGACCTCATCTGACAGGTCAATTTATCATGTGGTATTTGGTAAGGATCTTTAAAGCAAACATGCACAATCCAGTCATTCCACATCAAAAGAATGCTTCACGTGCCTTAGAAAAAAAAACGTTTTCCAATTCACAATCAACATTTTAGACATATCTAACCTCATTCATCCTGAGACTGACAAAAGAACAATAACTATATCTCAAGTAAAAATCCTAATAGAACATAAGTTAAATTTCAAGTCTACAAGTATAGTGTTGATAATAATTCAGATTTCAACTGATTATTATAATAAAAAAAACCAGTAATTAGGACAAATGTATTTATGGATAATAGGCATTTTAAACTAAAACAATCTGCAAATCTGTCCGATGATTAAATTTTTTGTTTGTTGGTTTTCTTTTATACAGTTGATTTTAGGACTTAATTTTTAGCTATAAATACATAAAAATGCTGTGTAGACACAGTTGGGACTTGCAGGAAAGTTGACTCACCCCAAATCTTGTAGCTAAAAAACTCTAATGAATGTTTTGGGTGCAGAGACATGCTGCTGCTGAATCTGCTATAAATGGGGATCTTTATCATCCTTAATGTTCACCCGTCCTGTTGATCAACGTCAAAGGGCATGCATGTATTCTGGTAGGAAAAAATAAGCTGACGGTTTTTACGGTGTAACCTTTTCAAAATTCACTATGATGGCAAAAACATATGCTGAAAAGTCTAACAACGTTAAGTCAGGTCCTCTGGATAGATGCAAAAAGTAATACATTTTATGAAAAACGATGAAATGTTTCGTCTTTTATCCAAAATACTTCACCAGTCTGAGGAGCTGCACTAAACTCAGTCTTATAAATAGAACCTTCTCATAGTGGATCAACCAGTTGGGCTGATCCACTATGTAACTGGTACATCGGGGAAACTAAACAACCACTGGCAAAAAGGATGGCCCAGCACAGAGGAGCAACATCATCAGGCCAGGACTCTGCGGTTAACACTCTACTGAAGGCCAGAGGTCACTCTTTCAGGGATGAAGATGTTCACATCCTTGATAGAGAGGAACATTGGTTTAAGAGAGGAGTGAAGGAAGTCATCTTTGTGAAGAGAAACCTTTCATTAAACAGGGGCGGGGGCCTCCATGTCCAACGGTCTCCCTGTTATAATGCTGTTATACCATACCATACCATACCAATTTATTTCTAAAGCACTTAAAATACAACAAGCAGTCATCCAAAGTGCTGTACAAAATTAAAAACAAACAAAAAACAGTAAAACAATAAAAACATCTAAATATACATTAAAAAAATAATAATCAGAACATCATAAGTAAAAGAATACAACATTAAGACACAGATGCTGACTCACTCTAGGTTAAAAGCCAATGAAAAAAAAAGTGTTTTTAAACGAGTTTTAAAAACAGAAAGTGACGGGGCCTGCCTGACCTCCAGCGGCAGCTCATTCCACAATTTAGGAGCCAGAGCTGAAAAGGCTCTGTCTCCTCTGGATTTATAAAAGGTTTTCGGGACTGCTAAAAACATCTGGTCAGAGGATCTAAGAACACGTGATGGTATGTAAAAGTGAAGCAGTTCAGACAAATAAGAGGGACTAAGACCGTTCAAAGACTTAAAAACAAACAATAAAACTTTAAAATGGATTTGAAACTGGACAGGAAGCCAGTGAAGGGACATCAAAACTGGAGTGATCTGTTCACGCCTGCCTGTACCAGTCAAAAATCATGCAGCAGCATTTTGTACCAGCTGTAACCGTAAGAGTGAGGCCTGGCTAACTCCTACCAACAGAGAGTTACAATAATCCAGGCGTGAAGTAATAAAAGCGTGGATTACTGTCTAAGTGGTGTCTAGAAAGGAGGGACTTGATTTTTGACAGGCGCCTCAGCTGAAAGAAAGAGGACTTAACCACGTTGTTGACATGGCAGTCAAGTTTCAGGCAGGGGTCCATTTTCACTCCTGAATTTGTCAAAATGGATTTTTCATATGGGGCCAAAGAGGAAAAATCCAAGGTGGAGAAACTGCTAGGGCCACATGATTTAAAAAGACCATAACCTCAGACTTCTTTTCATTAAAATGGAGGAAATTAAGTGCCATCCATCCTCTAATGTCATCAAGACAGTCCAGGAGAGACTAAGTGGAGCCATTTTGTTTCAAAGAGAAATAGACTTGACAGTCATCTGCATATAAATGAAACTGCACACCATGCTTTCAGAAAATAGAACCCAGTGGCAGAAGGTAAAGAGAAAACAGGAGAGGACCAAGAATAGAGCCCTGGGGTACCCCCCAGGGGAGGGCATCAAAAGCAGAGGTAAAATTATCCATCATCACACTGAAACTTCTATCAGAAAGGTAGGACCTAAACCACTGCAGAGCTGAGCCAGTGATGCCCACCCACTGCTCCAGTCTGGAGATGAGAATGTCATGGTCAACTGTGTCGAAAGCAGCTGTTAAATCTAAAAGAACAAGTAAAACACAGTTTCCAGAATCCAGTGCTAAAAATATGTCATTAAAAACCATTAAAAGAGCAGATTCAGTGCTGTGGTGCATTTTAAAACCAGACTGGAACGCCTCCAAAATTTTAAAGTCATCCAAAAAGGCCCTCAGCTGTGTGTAAACATTTTTTTCC